CAGGGACATGGGGGCCAGCTCAGTGCTCACATCTCACCCCAACACTCGAACCGAAAGCCTGGCCACGCAGCTGAGACTGAGGCACCGGCCGGAGCCCCATGTGCACAGCACTCCACTGGCCATCCTGGATGCCCCGCCCAAGACCCATACCCCCCGCCCCGGGGCCCCTGGCCAACGACGCAGCTCAGCCGGGCCCACTGGGCTCCCAGGACATGGTGGGAGCCTGAGAACGCGGTTGGCCAGGGACATGCCGGGAGGGACGCCAGGCGGGACTGGCTTACCGGCCCGAGGTCCACTCCGCTAGTCCTCAGTCTAAGGCTTGCTCAGCACAAAGCAAGGGATAGTGTGAGTTACACAGTGGCCCGGCCGGCGCCCAAGCCCCCTGCGCTGGGTGGGCCTGAGTGGGGGCAAGGGCCGTCCGGGGTCCACGCACGCCACCAGCGCTGCCCTCCCGGCCCCTTCCCCCTCTTCCGTCCTTCTCGGCCCTCCCCGCCCCTGCAGGACTCGCAGGGCCCACCTAACCAGGTCTCTGCTCCCACAGGTCACCCTGGGGACCCTGACTCCCCACGTCCCAGCTGTGGGCACACCAAGGTGTGGTACCGTCCACGTCTGGCTCCCTGCCAGGCTCCCCTTGCCACATGAGCAGAGTTCATCCTCCCTGTTCTTGTCACACAAGCCTGGGCCATATTTCTCCTGCCCTCTAGCCTCTGCCATGCCTAGGCTCCATGCCCACCACGCACAAAGCTCCTCCCGTCCCCAGGCAAGGTGGAATCAGGCGCTTCCCAGACCCTCCCCTCACATACCAGCCCCCGGTCCCCTGGCACTTGCCACCTCCAGAAGGACCCTCTGGGGCCCAAGCACAGAGCGGGAGCGCACGGGGAGCAGCGGGGCTGGGAAGCCAGGTGGCAGGGCTGGCAGGGCCCTCACCTTCGCTCTGCTGACTCCCAGTGCTGCCGCTGCCGTAGCTGAAGCCGGGGTCCTGGTAAGCTGGAGGGAAGCAGGGCGGGGGCCCCGGGTACTGGTAGGGGTAGCCCTGGCCCAGGGGCCAGGAGGCAGCCGGGTGGGGCAGCGGAGCCAGCGTGTCCTGGTCCGAGGCGCCGCTAGAGCCACTGTTGAGGTTCAGGGCCGCAAGATCTGCAGGGAGAAGGCGGGTGAGGACACAGCGGATGGGCCCCCGCAGCCCCGCCCGGAGCCCGACTCACGGCCACACAGGTCCCCGAAGACGTAGTAGCACTGCTCGGAGAAGGTGACCTTGTTGACCGTGTGCCGCAGGAAGCCGCGCTTGAGCAAGCTGCTGGCGTACTTGCGAGCCTCGCGCCGCTCCTTGAAGCCCTCCACGTGTGTGTACAGCCAGTCCACCACATCTGCGCCTGCAGCACCCAGTCAAGCTGCGGGCGCGGGCATGGGCCCCGCCCTCCCACTTCCCTCCACCAGGCCCAGCAGCTGCACGCTCACCGATGGTGCTGGCGAGGGGGCATGGGCCCCGGGCCCCCTACCCCCCCACCAGGCCTGGGGCACTCACCAATGACAGCATTGGCGATGGTGATCTTCAGCCACATGCGGTCCCGAATCTCCAGGCCTGAGTCTGGCAGCTGCATGACGCGCACCACGGCGCCCATGTCACTTTTCACTGTCAGGGGCGCCTCCTCCAGCTCTGCAAGGCACAGCCCGCCTCAGCCCCCAACAGGCCGGCCAGGGTCAGCAGTGGGTGGGTGGGGACCGGGTGTCCATTCAGCCCACTCAGCTGCCGCCCGTCGGGACCCCGAGGGCACGCAGGTCGGGCCCCCCACACAGACAGGCTCTTCCCCTCCCCCACCTTCCTGCGCCGGCCAGGCTGTCAGTCATGTTAGTGGCAGCGAAGCAGGGTGGGGACCTTGCGCCCTGCCTTGTGCCCGCCCAGCATACCCAGTGGGGCTGTGGGTGTCCTCCCTTCCTGACACCACATGCAGGTGGGCTGCCTGAGCCGTGTCTGTGCCGCATGTTGGGGACAGACAACACGCATGTGACACAGGCCGCAGTGACCGCCTCACCCGCTGGGCCTCGGTTTCCCGCCAGCGCCCTCGTGGGCCGCCACTTACGCGGAGCGCCAGGCACGGAGCTGGTTAGTGAGGAGGAGCTGGTGCGGGTGACGGCACTGGAGCAGGGACTCGTACCGTAGCGGGGCAGGGCTCCCACCAGCGCCGCCGTGTGGGACAGCCAGGCCGCGGGGTCGATGGGCCGTACTGGGTCAGCTACCAGCCGCCGCGTAGCAACCATGGAGGATGGGCGGGAGGGAGGGAGAAGAGCACAGAGACCACCCTTCAGGCTGGGCCCGGCACCGCCCATCCGCCTGCCCACCCGCCCGGGGTCACTCACCCCTCGGGATGGTAAAGTAGCTCCGTGGGGTGGGGTCCCAGCACTTGGCCACTGTGAGGCTGATAGGCCTGAGGACGGCAGCCACACGTCAGGCCATGAGGTCCCTCCATGCGAGTGTCCCCCACTCAGACCTCAAACCTTCTGCCTGTACCCAGTCTCCACATTCACCCTCCCCACTCCCGCTGCCCTCACCCCG